TACTCTAGGTGGCTTCTTAAACATACCTTTGAAAACCCCAAGAGGATGCTTGGAGTATAGCTTTAAAATAGTTAACCCTCAGTATACATGGGGGCTAGGTTTCTGGACCCCTAATACCATAATCCCATGGATCCTTAAGTCCCTTATGTAAAATGGCATAGTATTTGCCTATAACCTATGTATCCTCCCATATACTTTAAATCATCTCTAGATTACTTACAATACCTAATCCAATGTAAACGTTGTGAATTGTTATACTATATTGTTTATGGGGTAATGACAATAAAAATCTGTACATGTTCAGTAGTGACATAACCATCCACTTGCTTTTTCTCTGAGTATTTTTGATCCTAGGCTGGTTAAAACCAAAGGCATAGAATCCACAAATGTGGAAACCACAGATATAGAGGGCTAACTGTAATTGATTTTATTAATTGGAAAAAGCATGCCAGACACCTCCAAATTCTAAACAAACTGAGGCACTGGATATTTATTGGTGGTGGTGGTGGTGGTTGCCTGGTAAAATAATTTTGGGAATATGGGAAAGTGTGGTGTTAACCGGTGAGGCTGAGGTGGAGATTCTAAATATTCAGGGATCAGGGAACTTGAGATGGGGAGTGTAGAAAGGAGAGGTAGGACACCTGCCTTCAAAGTTCAAAGATGAACTCTGCTTACTTTATCATTTTATGGAGAACTGATGTATCATATTAATAATGGCACACTATTAATAATGGTGAAAAATGTTCATCTTTAGCTAAGATAGTAGGAATGATCCTTGGTGTCATCCACGGCTACTCCAGAGAAAGAAACAAGGAGGAGATTAATGGAGAGAGTTGATGAGCCCAGAAAGGGGCAGAGGCAACGAGAAAAGCCACGTGTCTTGAACAAGTATGCCCACTGTAGACGGTAAGAAATATAAGGGTAAGTGGGAGATGGGAGAGAGAGTAAGAGAACGAGGGAGGGAGGGGAATCAATATGTCCAACATAGGAAGACAGAGAAGACTGTAATAGACTATGCCACTGAAATATAATTTGGAGGCCCTGCCAGGAGGTCCAGGAAGTAAAAATTCAAGATGATCTTAATACTTGCTTTAAAGTTATTTTATTAATAAATGATGTAAAATATATGTTATTAATTATACCTTACTGAATACACTTAAATATAACATTTGTATTGTTATGTGGCTATTAGCATAAAAGTATGTACGTATTAAATAAAATCAAATTTAATAGATTATCAAGTAGTATTAATTTTCTTCTTTTTTTTTTTGAGATGAATCTCACTCTGTTGCCCAGGCTGGAGTGCAGTGGCGTGTCCTCAGCTCACTGCAACCTCTGCCTCCCAGATTCAAGCTATTTTCCTGCCTCAGCCTCCCAAGTGGATGAGACTAAAGGCATACACCCCCACACCAGACTAATTTTTGTATTTTTAGTAGAGACAGGGTTTCACCATATTGGCCTGGTCTCAAACTCCTGACCTCAAGTGATCCACCTGCCTCAGCCTCCCAAGTGCTGGGATTACAGCCATGAGCCACCACACTTGGCCAAATAATACTAATTTTCTTAAATAAAAAATTGAAATCTTTGTCTTTTGAATAAGCTGCTCAAAAGAATTTCAGAAAAGAGACAAAAGAACAGTTATAAAGGATCTTATAGGATCTGCTACCTGCGTTGCCAAAAAAAACATGGACAGAAAGATTTATTTAGATCAAACATTAATTGCTAATTTGGAAAAGACACAGGTGGTCTCTAGAACATGAAGTACCTTTTTCTTTACCTGAGTAAGAATGAACCAATTCTCTAATAATACAAGTAAACATAATTGTTGTTTCAGAACAAATTGTACCTATATACTGCTGCTATTAAACCAATTTGATCAAAAAGGCCGTGAAGTGGAGCGACCTTAGCTCACTGCAACCTCCTTCTCCAAGGTTCAAGCAATTCTCCTGCCTCAGCCTCCTGATTGGCTGGGATTACAAGTGCCTGCCACCAACCCTGGCTAATTTTTGTATTTTTGGTAGAGAAGAGTTTTCCTGCTGGTCTCAAACCCCTGACTTCAAGTGATCAGCCTGCCTCGGCCTCCCAAAATGTTGGTATTACAGGCATGAGCCACTGTGCCCAGCTGAGATATTTTCTTATTGCATTATTTCTAATCTTAAAAACTGCAGTATCTAACAAACATGAAAAATCCTCAGAAATGAGATATCAAAAACAGATTACTCTCTATAGCAAACTTTGATCCACTATAAAACTACTTAACAATGGTTAAAGTGCTACTCATTTGTTGTCATTTCTGGAATGTCTTTTGAACTGGAATCTTATGAGGAACAATATAGTTTGTTTTTTAATATCACTGAAGACAATTTCTTAGCGTTTGTATAGGGCCAACTATCTGAAAACTATTATTTCTCCAGAGTCAATTTAATTGCAAATGAGAAAAATAACAATATATTTTTTGGATAATATAGTTAATATATGAAAGTATTGCTTTGCTTTTTAGTGAGTCAATTTGATGTGGTATAAAGAGGACATCTTTGAGAGTAAATGTTAAACTTAACCTGCATTCAAATAAATGATATTATGACAACATCCACTGTCCTCTTTTAATTCTGAATGTTGCAATTATCCCTCCCCACCACAGGCTGTGATGCATTTACTACTTAAAATTTAGAGGCCAACAAAGAATATCCCATGTTGACCTTCAGGACCACCCAAATCCACCATTTATTAGTGCTTCTTTCACATCCACAGTGACTCTGTCATTTTTCTCCACCTGTCACTACTGCTAGGCAGCCTGTGAGAGTGGGCAGATGTCATATGGCTCACGTGTAAATGCCAGTGCTTTCTGCCTGTCCTGCCTATTGTTGTGACTTAATTTTTGTCGCCTCTCAAGCTTTCACTTCTGGTTTATTCTGTGAGAATTTCCTGTTTATGTGTCAGTTTCCCCTACAATGATTGTGAGTTACTTAAGAAAAGGTAATATATGGCCCAGCCCGGTGGCCCACGCCTGTAATCCCAGCACTTTGGGAGGCCAGGTGGGTGGATCACGAGGTCGAGAGATCGAGACCGGCTTGACGAACATGGTGAAACCCTGTCTCTACTAAAAATACAAAAATTAGCAGGGCGTGGTGATGCCTGTTTGTAGTCCCAGACACTTGGTAGGCTGGGGTAGGAGAATCGCTGGAACCTGCGATGTGAATGTTGCAGTGAGCCAACATTGCGCCACTGTACTCCAGCCTGGCAACAGAGAAAGACTCCGTCTCAAAAAAAAAAATAATAATAAAGAAAAAGGACTATATATGCTTGGCTGTGTGTTTCCAATGCTAAACATAGGGTCTGGAACATAATATGCCCCCCACATGTGTTTATTGTGTATGAACGAAAATTCATTGAATACTCATAGAAAATTCATATAAATTTATCGATATTTAAGATACTTAAATCTGTGAGGCTATCACATTATCTGATTTATATTTTTTCTGGTATTTATTTTCCTCTTTCCTTCCATATTTGGTAGTATTTCTCCTTGGGAGAAAGCGTTTGTATGCCAAGGAGAAATACTGTGGCAAGATGCCATTGAGGCAGGCCCACTATTTGGACTCCTGAAGTGACTTGCTTGGCTTTGCCGCTTACAAAGCAAAAGATATATTCATTATATGTCAGCCTAGACTCTTAATTGGGAAAGAGTGAGACTTCTTCCAGGCTTAAAGCCATTTTGACATGTTTTACAGAAGATGGTGTGGGGCTGGTGTTGCTGGGGAGGGAAATGGAAAACTAACATAGGTAGAAAAGAGTCTGTGGTCTTGCATCCTGAGGGGCTTTTTCTTTCATTCATTCACTCACTCACTCACTCACTCATTCACGCTTTCTGGTGCCAAGATGAAAGTAGTGCAATAGTTCTGCAATTGTGGACTCTTGTAACAGCTGTTCAGTTTTAGCTAAAGATGATTTGCATTTTTACCGCACCTTTTCCCCAAAGAGATGAAAGCATTTTACATTCAGTAATAAAGCCTAAGATGAATTGCAACCAACGCAACGTGCTTAGTGTGCTAAACAACACTCCTGTAGTGGAAAAAGTACTGAACGTTGCTAATATACCCTTGACTAACACTGGTAAATACACGAGCCCGGGCATGCATTGAGAAAGAGATGAAAATTGTGCAAAACTGCAACAGCAGTCAGTATTCTGCTTCTACAGCCGGTGTAATTTGCTTTTTGGACTGCTGGCAGTAAAGCTGAAGCTGCCCCACAAAAAACAAAAACAAAAACAAAACCCAGAAACTTAAAAGTATCACAGCCACGTTCACCAAGTAAACAGCACTGTTTCTAGTTTACATTTGGATCTCTTCATTCTGTAGATGGCATGGATAAACAACCAAACAAACGTAATTCTACCGCGAGAAGGGAGAAGCACCGGGTTATCGCTGAGCGTCACAGGTTCTTTTATTTACCTTTCACGTTACAACTTACAGATGTTACATGTTAAAAAAAAAAAAAAATCCACCCAAGATGTCAGGAAACACTTCCCTCGGTCACTTCACCTCACCTGGCGTCTCAGCCACCTAGACCTACGCTCTGCTTCGCCGTCCGGTCGCCTCGGGCGAGGAGGGCGCAGTAAACAGCGCCCACACAAGAACCCAGGGTGAGGCGGTTTCCCGTCTCTTCCGCCAAGGCTCTGTGGATGTGGGTTTTTGATGCCCTACGAGTCTTCTCACCCCGCTTCTCGCTCAAGCCAGAAAAAGAGTGAGAAAACAGCAAGGGTAAAGGAAACCAGCAAGACCCCGGCCTTCGCGCGGGCACCGCGACACAACGCGGCGCACGGGGGGGCGGGGCCAAGGCGCGGCGCTGGAGCTCCGCCCCGCCGCCGCCCCGCCTCCTTCCTCTCACCCCAACCCTCCGCACCCGGGAGTGACTGACTCCCGCCAGCCCCACCACGTCAATCAACCCTCCTCCTTCTCGCACTCTCTGCACCTTGTTATTAATCTCAATACGGATATCGCCCGGACGCCTTTCCCCCGGCCTTCGGGGGTGTGAACGTGTGTGAGCGAGAGCGGAGGCACCGAACGCAGGCGTCTCTGTTCAACCTCGGCCCCAGCAGCACCCGGCGCAGCGGCAACCCCCGCAGCGGCGGCAGCCCCAGCGCCAGGAGGCCAAGGCCAAGGCCAGGCTCTGCGTGGCTTTCGGGGCAACAGACGCGGCTCCGGCCCTGCGGGGGCGCAGCTTCCTTCGGCTGGGGCCTTCGCGTCAGCGGCCGCGGCCGCGGGGCCTCTCCTGCGCGCCCGGGGTCACTGTCCTCGAAGCCCGGCGGCGCGGCCCTAGTCCCTCTTCCCGCCCCCCGGTCCGTCTCCTTCTCGCTCCCTTCAGCCGTCCTCCGCGCCGCCGCCTCTGCGGTTCGTCAGGCGGCCCGGCCCGGCCCGCCCGCCCCGCATCCCCTCCGGCCGGTGCCTCTCCCCCCGGCGGGCTGCCTGCATGTCTTTGCTGCCCTCAGCCCCGCCGCCACCGCCGCCGCCGCCTCCTCCGCCGCCGCAGCACCAGCACCAGCCGCCCCGTCGCCGCCGCCGCCGCCGCCGCCCGGACCCCGGCGCGCTGAATGCAGGTGAGGAGGGGGCGCGGGTCCCCCACGACCCCGGGCCCGGTTCCCTGCGCGCCCGCCTGCGAGCCCCGGACCCGGGCCCTGTGTGCCGCCGCGGCTTCCCCTCGGGGCGGGCGGGAGCGAGGCCCGCCGTGAGTGTTTGTGTTTGCGTCTGCGGCCGCGGCTCCAGGGGAAGCATCTGTGGGGGCCTGGTGCGCGCGCGCGCGCGTGTTTGTGTGTGTGTGTTTCCCCTGCCGCGGGGAAATGGCTGCTGTTGCTTCTTCTGGGCCAGAGGAAGAGCATGAGGTAGAGTGTTCTTGTGCCGCGGAGTAGGATCGAGAGTGTTGGGAAGAGGAGCGCTTCCCCGGGGAAATGAGGTGGGAGAGGGACAAATGTGCGTGTGGGTGTGCGAGTTGGGACTTTGGCGGGCGGGGAGGCGGCCCGAGGACCCGCGGCGAGTGGGTGTGTGTCGGGTGACTGGAGGGGGCGGCGGGGCTGACCCGCGTCCCTTCGGAGGAGGGCGAAGGTTCCGGTGTGTGTGTGTGTGTGTGTGTGTGTGTGTGTGTCGACGGTGGCCCGGCCCGGGACCCCAGAGTGGCGTGTCCCTCCCGCCAAGTGGCCGAGGCTCCCGAGCCTCGCAGGTGGGAGCTGCTCGGCGGGAGCCGGTCGCTGAGGGCGGAGTGAGTGCGGCACACGCACGGCAGCGGGGCTGGGAGAGCTGCGGGTCGGCGCCGCGCCGCCGTTCCGGGGGCCGCCGTTCCCCGGGCCGCGGCAGGAAGCGCGCCGGCCTGCAGCGCGGCCTAACCGCCTGGGCGCCCGCCCGCCTCCCCGGACGCCTCCCGGGACGCCGAGCCCGCGCGAGCCCACGTCGCTGCCTCCGGCCTGGGCAGGTGAGGGTCGGAGGCGGGACGCGCCGATGGCCGTCGCCGTGGCCGCCTCCGCGTCTCCTGAGGAGACGGGAAGGCTTATTTTGGCTTTCCGACTGCAAGCCTTCCCCCGGCCGCTGTGGGACCCGAGGGAAAGTGAATCGGAACAGTCAGTCTTGGGAATCCGTGGTGTCGAGGTCCCTTCTTTTCATCTTTCCGCTAAGGCTTTGTGGAAGGACTGAGTAAATATTTCGGATTTTTGTTGCAAATACTTTGTCGTTGGTATGATTTCTGTTTTTAAATTAGACAAACATTTTCTTGGAAGGGCCGAGGAAGAAAGGGAAACTGGCTTCCCTGGCCTCTGGTGTTGGTGGGATTGGATGGATTTTGTGCATTTGAAGTTGTTTTATCCTGCCTCCTAGGGGGAAAGGCGTGTACGCGCCGAGCTGAGGAGCTGGGCGAGGAAGAGGAAGTTACTGGTGCTGTCATCCTCCTTAACTCGGCGGGTATTGAGCTTAAACTAAACGTTTAGGTGGATTGTGTACAAGGAGTTTAGCTGAGCCGTTTGTACACATTGGAAGCACGGTGTTACATTTTACCGTATTGCCTCTATTTATCTTGTCAATCAAGATAGGCACGACAAACACGTTTTCCTCAGTCTCCAAAAACTAGATCAAGCAGCCTCTGTTGTCTACTCAGTATGTGCTCCTGGAAAGCTATTTTGAGAACAGTCTAAGCAAAATTCAGTTGTAAAGATGAACCTGCTGCCAATAGGTGTACAGTGCATTTCAGAACCAATTACAAATGGACTTTGGATAATTATTTGCTAATGTACGTTTCTACTCCAACCTCATTACATTTGTATGTGGTTAGATCATTTAGTTAGAATCCTACTAAGGATAAAATCATAATACAGATTCTATCCTTGTAGGCCGTGCTCTGTGTCATGACCAGAGATTGCTCTTTGCACCTGGTCTCACAAAGAAATACTGTATGCTGTTCATTGGGAAATGGAGGGAAGAGAAGGAGGGGCAAAGGGCCGTTTTCTTATTACCACTCCTGGAAAAACATTTAAGACACGTAGTGGAGAAAAGGACTTGTTTTACAGACTTAAGTTAGCATCCCAGCTGTGTCATTTTTCTTAGCTGTTTGACCTTAAGCAACGTATCTACTATCTGTAAGCCACAGTTTTATCAGTCACAGAGCGCTAATACCTTTATAGTAAGGTCGTTTTGAGACTAGAATGTGAAAACATACGTTTGGCATATAGTAGATGCTTAATTAAATTTAGTTCTGTCTCCTCCAGCCCTGACTATGGGCATTGAAGAGCCTTTGAAAGCACGAATACGGATTCATTATTTAGAGCAATGTTAAGTAACTATAAGATTTTAAAAAATCTTTCAGAGTCCTTCAGTATACAAAAGGTATATATAAACAACTTTAATGTATATGGGAAGCCTTTTTTTCTAGAAATAAAAATGGTCATTAAAATAGCCTAGTTAAAAATAAAAATAATCTTTTCATGTTTTCAAATAGATCATCTCTCAGTTTCATTATTCTTTATAATTTTTTCTTTGTAGCCCTAAAAAAAAAATCAACCTCTATATAACACATACATGTTTCCATACAGTTAAACATTAAAAAAGATCGAGGAACCAAAGTTTATATAGATACTCAAAGTTAAATGCTACAAAAAATGCTAGCTCATGTTGACTGATTTTGATAAATAAAACCTCTTAGAATATTTTTCTGAATAGAAGCTAAAATCCTCTGTCAACTTAACTTTCAATAACTTTCCATTTTTATTATTTTGCCTGGAGTAGGAAATGTGTTCATTAAATTTTAACTGTGATGTGTGCAAAAAATGTTATGGAGAGGTATGGAATTTAAGGTAAATACAACAGAAAGGTAAATTTAAGGCTTCTTTTTGTTTTGGGTAAAAACAGGACAAAGAGAATGTGGGAGTTTCATTGGTTTAAATTTGTCATGTCCCTATTTACAAATACAAGGTTTCCCAGTAGGGCTTATGTAATTTATTTGTATCAATAATGATAAGAAAAAATCTTATTTTTTAAAATTCAAACTAAAATTTCAACACATTTAGTATAACTTTTATGCATATTTATATATAAAAATTTCTGTGAGGGTAAGAGTCACAGGGTCGGGAGAGGGAAGCTCTCATCATTGAGGGGCTTGAAGTTTTATAAATAACTTATTAGAATGCAAAATGTGATTTTTTAAAAGTGTGTGTTGTAGGAGTGTGTATTTACATTGAATAGAACCTTCTTCCATGTGGTTATATTTATGGAAAAATTCTTACCTTTATAAAAAATACTTTTTAATACCTTAGAAACAATGAAATAGAAATGAATTTGCTCGTATTTGGTATTGTAATTTTCATTGGACTTTATGAATTATTTTAAAAGAGTTCATTTTTTTTTTATTTGGGAGAATTAGGAAGAACATTTCTTCGTAATAATCATGAAAACAGATGATACTGAACTATAAAGGTATTTGGATATGAAGTGCAAGTACTAAGGCTATTATTTAGACTAAAGGAATTATGTTACAACAAAGTCAAGGTGGAACGTTGTTTAGGTTTTAAAATTTCATGTTACTTAAATGGGCTTTTAAGCAATCTTTCCAAAGTATCTGTTATTAATGTCTTTAATTAGGGGGAATTGGAATACTTAGGAATTACTGCATGTATTACTTTGGGTAATGCTAATTAGAGTAATAAATACATTCCAAAATTTCAGTGGCATAATACAAAGAAGTTTACTTGCTTTCATGACAGTTCCAGTGCAGGTGGCACTGGTTAGCAGGTTTGTTGTGGCTTTCCTCCATGTTGTAATTTGGGGACTCATACAACTTATATCTTGTGACTCCACCATTCCTTAGGTCCTTGGAGTCCTGCCGATTGCCAGAAGACCATTTCTTGAGAAACTCTAGGCCGGGTGCAGTGGCTCACGCCTATAATCCCAGCACTTTGGGAGGCCAAGGTGGGTGGATCCTGAGGTCAAGAGATCGAGACCATTCTCGTCAGCATGGCGAAACCCCATCTCTACTGAAAATACAAAAAAATTAGCTGGGCATGGTGGCGCACACCTGTAGTCCCAACTGCTCGGGAGGTTGAGGTAGGAGAATTGCTTGAACCCGGGAGGCGGAGGTTGTGGTGAGCTGAGATCGTGCCATTGCACTCCAGACTGGGTAGCAAGAGTGAAACTCCATCTCAAAAAAAAAAAAAAAAGAAAAGAAAAGAAACTCTAGACTTAAATGATAAACATTCCTCTAAATTTCATTGGCAAGATTTGTCACAGAGTCTCATTTGAATGCAAGGGGGGTGGGAAATGTCCCTGGCTGGTGGAAAGCTTGGCCATCTCTGCTGCAAGGGGCATTTCATGGTGTTATTTTAGATGTTAGCATGTATTTATGAAATTACATCCAAAAGATGAATTATGATCTTTAAGATTTGCTTTCCATCTTCAAAGAATAAAATTGTGTGTGAGTGGAGAGTGGTAGGGAGAGGAGAAAAGAGAAAAGAGTAAGAGTCACAGGAGTGGGAGAGGGAAGCTCTCATCGTTGAGGGGCTTAAATGATAAGTGAATTTCCGTAGCTATTTATAGATGCAAATTTTTTCAGAGAACATTAGAGTTGGATTCTATAACCTTTAGTGGGTCTCTCCTGTACTATCCAGTTATCAATTGTCATTGTGGTTTAATGAGTTCTGGCAGTTTGAGTTATTTCTCTTTGTGTTTTGAAATCAATTCAGATCAGTAGGACAAAACTCTGAATTTCAGTTTCTGGGTATAGTTTCATAGGAAACACATTTTTTGAATTTTCTTCCTCTGCTATTGGGATAGATGATGATGATGATGATGATGATGATGATGATAATTACTACTACTACTACTGCTACTACTACTACTACTTTGAGGAAATCTCATTTAGGTGGACCTTCCATATTCTCTTGTTTGCTGCTGCAGTTTTTGTAATTCTAAAGTTATTAAAATTAATTATGTGTGACCCTTAAACCAGAAAACAGTAAGATCATCGAGTAAACAACAAAAGCTTAATTATTAATTTGTGCTCATGCTTCCTGATGAAAATACTACAACTTTCTTTTACTAACTGCACTAACACTGGACCTCTAATACA